GAAAGTTAAGTGTCTTCATACATTTCATAGTAAATAAACTAAATGCAATATTTAGTATTTTCATATACTATCTATTGTTGCTTCTGCCTTAAAATCCCAAATCACTCTGTATTTTGTTATGTCTTGTGTAGACTTTGTGTAGAATCTGTCAAGTTATAGTTGTTATACTATAGTTGAACAGTTTCTGTTATCACTATGGTTAAAGAAAAAACTATAGGCTAACATCATATTGATTGGCAACAGATTGCTATAATAATAAAAAGAGATAACAGGATAGAGGTTTGGGTTTATGAGAAAGGTAGATATGAGCTTTACTTATATTATATTTAAAAGAAATAAGAATTAATTTTTCTAGATAATTGTTATTTAAAAAGAATTGAGAAATATAAATATATAAAATGAGTACTAATTGTGAAGTAGTAACTGGTAGAAGTTTGTAATATCTGAAAAATTTGTTATAACAAGCATTCAGATAGTATATATCAGTATTGCAAAGAGAAAATATAGGTAAATATAATGAGTCAGTATAGGAATCAATATTATTATAAATAGCAAATTTGTTTGTAAGAGGTTGGTTAAGAAGTAAAGGATCATTTAGTATAGAGTTAAGAGTAATGTCAAAATCTGGTTTCTCAAAAGGATAAAAAGTATTGGAGTTTAAAGAATTAAGATGGTCTTCTGTAGAGTTACTGTATGCTCAGCTTGCACAGCTGTAAAGGTTGTCATAACTTGTCCAGTACATTGGATCTGGCCATTATAAGCTTGGTTCTCTGCAGAAATGGACTTTACTACCTATCTACTTACATTATTCTCTTTTAAAAATAGTCTACAAAAGTGGAGAACATCATTATTTTAGAAGCAATAACTACTTTTTTGGAATTTACAGAAAACATTGTTTAAAGATATGAATAGTATTAAAAAAAGAAAAAAAAATAAGGTAAAAGGTATATTGAAAGTTTTTAAATAAAATAAGAATAGGCTTATTTTAAGAAAAAGTAGATATAATTTAATATAGTTTTTTTGCCTTAGTTAAGAAAAGTGTAAAAGAATCTAATGTAATGCAGATGCTGCCATCATAACCTGTTAGCAGAGTTAACAGACCATCAGTAGGTATTAAACCTACAACTGCTGTCAACAGTTGTACAACTTTACCACTTTGCTACAATAGGTAACATGTAAAATTTTTTGGTTGTACAATTTAAGGATGTTCAAATTTAGAGACTTTGATCCAATAAGATTTAAGAAATTATGGAGTCTGAGTTTTGTATAATATAAGAAGTAATTTTGTAAAATTGTAATATAAATAGTTGAAATAACTTTAAATGTTAAGATTAAGAAAAAAAAAATCAAAAATAAATAAAAAGTAAAAATTATTATTGTTAAAAATAGGTCAAAGTTATTGAACAACTTGTTTTTAAAGAAGAAGTGTAAATGAAACTTTGTATGAAGTAGTAGGCATTTTGCAAAATAAAAATTGAAGGTATAAATAGTTATTATTATAATAATAAGCAAATAAAGAAAAAAAAATTTAAATATAAAGTTGTAAAATATAATTTGTAAATTATTATAGAAGTTAGAGAACTGTAAAGAAGAGTTGTAGTGTTAGAAGGTAAAGTTAAAGAGAGAAGGCTGCAGATTATAGAAATTGTTGCTGAAAATTAGCAAAAAAAGAAAAATATATAAGCTTGGTTGTTAAATAAATAGATTAAGGCCACATGTTAAAAACTTGGAGGATTTGTTAAGAGATGCAAGACAGCAAGTAGTTGTATACATCAAAAACATTAATTATAGAAATTTAAAAATGTAGTATATAACAATTTTGCATTGCTTTAAATAAAAAGTTGCAGTATTTAATATTTTAAATATCAAAATTTTGACACAAGCATTTAAAGTACTAATGATAATGCATTGGTTAATGTATTTATTTTTTCAAAATTCTGAATATTCATTGAGAAGATGCAATTCTAAAAAAAAAAAAATGTTCAATATATCAGATGCCACACTAATAACCAACAAGTACATATATACATACATACTATTTAATTGATGCAAGCTTTACTGCTACAATTAGTAACCATGCTGGCCTAAATTAAATTTTAACACTGGTCTAAATTAATATCCAATAATGGTTAAAGTTTAATACTGGCCCAAATTATCTAATTAAAGTCTAAACAGACCCAAATTAAGGTTTATCGCTGGCTCAAATTAAGGTCTGGCCCTTATACAAATTAAAGTCTAACTCTGACCTCAAGGTCTAATGCTGACCCAAATCAAAATCTAACACTGCTCTAAATATTAACCAGTCTAAAAAATTTTGCTGACCAATCATATTCAAAATCTCAAGTAATGCAAAAGAAGCGCAAAAGAACTAAAATAATAAAAAAATGCTTAGTAAACCTTTTAAGAAATCTTTAACTTATTTTTTGGCACTAAACTATTGAATGTTTCTTCAATTCACATTATTCATATCAGCTAATTTTTGAAATTCAGTTGATTAAAAGCTCCAGTAATTCATTTGATAAGATATTGTTTTTTGTACTTAACATTTTTTTAAAAAAAATTATATATTAATATGTTATAAATATAATTTGGTAAATGACAAGTATATTTTGTGTCATAGTCTTGATGATAGCAACAATTGTAGATTGTGAACTACATAAACTACTGTTTATTTATAGATTTGAACTGTTACATGAAATGTTATGTAATTTCTCAAAGGATTGCAATGATTACAAAAATTAAACATGCACATGCACATATTCTGGAACATTTAACAGTTCTTCAGAAATTAAAAATGCTATTTGATCACTATTCCATGGTCTGATTTTATTTCTCTTTCTTTCTTATTCAACATTCGCTATTATCTTCAACTATAAAGATAAAAAATTATTACATTTCCTATCTATAATTTCAGATAAAACTACTATAAACTTTCTGTACACAAATAAATCATCAGTGATTTCTGATAATAGATGTGTTTTCTTTATCAAATCTATTTTTTTCTGATTTTATTGTTAATTGCCAGTTTTAATTCATTTTTGCAAGTTATATTTGAAAGATATTCATCGATTATGTATGGAAATGATAGAGTGAATTCATTGATTTTATTATCATTATCATTTTGCAAATTAATGAGTAGCATTAGTTTTGTGATATGATTTATCTCCTAAACCATTTCTTCTGCAAATTTGCTCTAAATTTTTTTAAAAAATGTTTTTATTGATTTCTCGTATTCTAGTAACCAGAATTTGATAATTTAGGCACCATTCAATTCGTCTCAATAAGACTGTTCAAATGGTATTAAAATAATCAAATTCTGTTTGCTAGATCGTGAGATATTTGCAAAAAACAATTTTCAATGCAGCTCTACAAAAATTTAAGTTTTCTGCACTGCAAATAGTTTTTGTAAATATCTCACAACATAGTAATCCGAATTTAACATATTTGATACCATTCGAACTGTCTTGTCAAGGTGAATCGAATGGTACCAAAATTATTAAATTTTGTTTATTATATTATGAAATATTGATATTTAAATAATAGTTACCCTTTAACTGTTTCTCTTACAAATTTGCTCTGAATTTTTAAATTTTGATTGGTAACTCATATAGCACTTGTATTACTTATAAATTAAGGTTTTAATTAAAAATCTCAATTTTACTTTATTAAGAAATTCATAAATTTTTTACATTGTACAGGAATTATGATTATCGGGTTTGATCATATTTCTTGCATTGTACAGGAATTATGATCATTCAGGTTTGATTTTCAGGTCATCATTCAGGTTCAATTATCTTTAATATTTTTTTCTATTTATTTATCAATTATTTATTATTTTTTTTTTTACGCATTCTTATTTTAGATTAAAATGAGTGCTGACATTGAAGATAATGATGCATGTACCTTTGAGCTTACATGAATTATTACCAATATCAAAAAAAAATTGAAATCAATGATCCTACAGACGATGATATCGAAGAAGAACTCAAAACTAAAAATTACAAAGAAACTGATAAAGAAAGTGAAAATGAAGTCACAAATAATGACAAAAAAAAAAAAAAAAGATAATAAAAGTAGTCAAGCAAAAAAAATATATATATCTCATTCTTCTAATTTGCTCAATTTACCATTACTACCTTCATTTCAAAAATTTAAATATACAAAACTATAGCATTCCTCTTTAATTAAATTACCTGATAATTTAACTATTGAAGTTACACTGCATTCAATTTTTCACTTATTTTTCTCTAATTTACAGTTAAATATGATTGTTAAAAATACAAATTACTATGCTGTAGCAAAATCAGTGAGTAAAGGGTGTGAGTGGGTATCTTTAATGGTAGAAGAGTTATTGATATAGTTAGCATTAATAATTTATATGGATGTTTTTAAACTACCAAGTAAAGAAGATTATTGGAAAATAGATTAGAAATATCCACATCATAAAATTACTAAATATATGACATTGGTTCGATTTGAACAAGTTATATTATTTATTTTTAATTAGGTTTAAATTTTTATTTAATTTATTTTAATTTAAATTTTTTTTAAAAAATAAATAAATTTAAAAAATAAAATGTTATCTTCATATTTCGAAAATTGAAACAAAAGTGTTATGATTACTATAGTATTCGAAAGTTGAGCCTTTAGCTACACATATCTAAGAAGTTTCTAAGTCAATTTACTTACAAAAATCACAAGTTTCAATTGATGAAATAATTGCTAAATTTAAAGGAAAAAGTAGTTATACAGTATGAATTAAAAATAAACCTATACCAGAAGGATATAAAATACTTTCATTATGTGATTCAGGATATACTTACTGTTTTATTTTTACTTCCCGTATTGAACCTAATTATGAAATTAATCCAATTCTGAATGTTAATAAAATTGGCTGGCAGGTGTATCATCCAATATTGCAACTTCCTAAGAACAAAGCATTTGATATCTATATGAATAATTTTTTACAAATATAAATTTGCTTAGTTATTTGTGAGAAAATGGATATGTTAGTTGTGGAAAAGTAAGAAGTAATACTTTAAAATTTTCTACTCTTTTAAAAATCAAAAAATCACAAAAAAAAGTATGGGATACTCTTTCTAGCACAGTTGTAGATGATATATTAGTGGTGTTCTAGATGGATAATGGGCCAGTAACAATGTTAACAACTATACATAAAATTTCAGATGAAGAATGCCAAATAGAAAGAGAAAGATGACAACCACGAACAACTAGCACTAATGCTAACAAAGTACATAGTGTATTTGGCGAAGCAAGCAAAAAAATTCTTCTAATACCTGCCGTAATTGATAATTACAACTATCATATAGATGGTGTAGACATAGCAGACCAATTACAAGGCTATTATGGTACACAAGTACCTGTATGTCATACCTGGATGCTATTATTTTTTTGGCTTCTTGATACTAGTATTGTTAATACCTTCCGTATTTCAAAAGCTCTCAATTTAGCTATGATATATAAAGATCTTAGAATAAATTTAGTGTGAAGTTTAGTTGAAGAATTATTGAAAAAAGGCCAAATATTATATATGTGAAAACAAAGAGTAATAATTCAATCAGAATTACATAATCAAAGTTTAGAAAAAAAGCAATATTTTGTTACAAAAAAATTTGACTTACCTATTAAATGATTGCATCCACAAAGCCATTATCTAAAATATCATGAAGATAGAGGTTCTTGTGTTTGGTGTCAGTTTCAATATATGGCTAATCATAGAAAACATGACAAAATTCACTGCAAAGTAATATATAGTGTACAGTATGTAATGTTCCTTTATGTATTAACAAGCAATGCCCAGATTGCTTTATTAAGTACCATGAATATAAATAAATAATAAAAACAATATTTTTATACTTCTTTATAATGTCTTGTATTATTTATATTATTATTTTTTATATAATTGTAATATATATGACTATTGGAAAATTTCAGGGCAAATTTGCTCTGAATTTTAAACAGTTTAAAAGATAAAGATGTGTGTTACATTTAGAGGTGTCATTTTGTAAGAATATACTATTGTTTTTATCAAATTTTAAGTATTAATCAACATTTTAACTTGAAACAAATTCAAACTGATGATGGAATAGATGGCATTTATTTTTTGTGATCATTTTCTACTAGGCAGCATCCATAATTTATGTTAAATCAGTATTGTTATAGGGATCTTAAAGACAATACAAACATAATACTATATGGAATTACCTTTAAGATGTCCAGATTATGCGGTCTTGAAAATCTTCAAATTATTTAACCATATAAAGTGAATTGAAACCACATAATACACTATTGGGTTAAAGTAGATTGTGAATGCTGCCTTATGTATTTTGCATTTATTCATTGTGAAAGGCAAGATCAACCAAGTAATGCCATGGTAATCTGTTGTACAAGTTCAAAGAATTTGTGAAAGTGGTGGAAATAAAAAGAATAACAAGAATTTAAAGAACTATATGTTTTCTTCTAAACTAATGATATCTCAGTTATGACATTAAAAATTGCTCTGCTCTAATAATTCCTCCTGAATAGTAAATAAAGTATAATTTTGAATTAGAGCCTTGTCAAAGTTCAACTTTAATCTTTGAATTCAGTTTGGCAGACCTATATATTTTTAAAAAAACTTATTATTATAACATTCTTTACAAAAAATTTTTAACCTCAAAATTTGTCAATTAAAATTGAATGAATTCTTTTAAGAATCAACTGCCTAATTAGAGGTGCATGTTTCACAATAAACCAATGAAATTGAATGAATTTATTTTAGATCAACATCATATCTAATTAGAACTTCATATTCTTCACAAAAAATTTTTAGCTCTCAAAATTTGTCAATTGAAATTGAATGAATTCATTTTAGAATCAACCTTGTTCTAATTAGGACAGACATTTTACAATATATACCAAAAAAAATTTACAATACAAAAAAAATGATATTGATATCGGGTTCTAACTATTTATTTCAAGGATTATATGTGTTTATACCCATGAACTCCTCACAGGCTTTTCTTGCAATGTTATCAATCAGAGCCTGGTAACAGTCATGCATGAAATTTTTGAGCACAGTTAATTTGGCTTCTTCATTTCTGAAGAGGTATGTCAATAAACCTTAATAACATATTTCTGGTCCACAGAAAAATTATTTTATTCCTTGAATATTTTATTGATTATATTTTTCAAAGTATAACTTTATTAACAATTAAATATGTGGTGTTATATAATGATGTTATACATAGTTTTTTGAATTCTTTGGCTACATATTTTGGAAGTAAACAAGAAAATATATTGTAATTTGCTTTAAAACCTGATGTGTTATCTAAATAGGATTTTACTGAATCGATAAACATCTTGGCGATGAGTGGTTCTTCATAATCTTTCTGAAAGTTAGTGTAAAGTTCACATAATAAATCACTTTCAATGAATGCAAAGTATAAATCTTCTGAACTTAAATTGTGTAATAGGCTTACAAAATTATTAACAACACATCACAAATTTAATAATTCAATTACATCTATTTTATATATTACTTTTGTTTAGTATTTATTTTGTAACATATTTTGCATTTCATTTTTTTTGAGTACTTCGAGTGAAAAGATCTTTTTAATCATGGTTAACATTTGACTGTCAAAGTCATCACCAATCATTATGTCTTCTAGCATCATATAAATGTACTCAGTAGCAGCTTAATATTTGTATTTTAGAAATATATTTTCAAAGGATTTATTTTTTGCCATAACTCTTAGTAGAAATTTACTTCCGTACATTTTGATTTCCATGATCGATTCCAAGGGTTTTGTGATTTTATTTTTGGTTACAGTTTCACAAACTCACATTTTTTTGATATAACACTGAGTTCTTTAAAGAAAATTTCAATAAAAAGGATGTTGAATGTTTTATTAGTACACAATATGCTTCTGGCTTCATTTTCTATATTTTCATCTTTAAGTATATTTTTGAATATATCGTCAATGACATGTTCAAAGATGACTCTTAGTATATCATTATTTATTTTGGGAATTATTGATTTAGTGATTTCGGTGATTTTTTCCTAAGCTTACATTTCTGGTTTTTTATCTATTTTTGTAAGATCAATGATAGAATTGCAGGAATTTAAATATCGCTTCTAGAAACATGTTGTCTTGCCCTTCTTTCTTCTGCCTCAATCTCTTCATTGTTGTACAAATTAACAATTATGTAAAATTGTGGTCATGCAGTTTTCATAGAAATTGCATGTTGCTCAATTTCAATTTTTTCTTTTTTAAAAGATATCTTCAGTTTCTTTCGAGATATACTCGGTTTACTGAAAGTATTTAAAAAATTATATTTTGTTTTATCTGTATTTATTTTATAATTTTTTATTCTTAAGCAATGAACTAGACTCATATTTATAATAATTTTGAATTATGTATTTTATTGTAAAACTGATAGTTAACTAATAGTTAAAATTAATAGTTATTATCTCTAATAAGAATATACCAAACTTTAATAGTAATGCAGCAACATCATTTTCACATATATGCTTATTAATCTTAAAACACTTTGTATATAAAGCTTCTAATTAAATCTTTGTTTCAGAATCATTTAAGTGATTATTCAAAAGTTTGTATCGCTTTTAAATTAAGTAAGAATATTAAAAAAAGAAATAGTAATAAGTCCGCTTATTGATTGGACTCAGTTAGTATAAATTTAAGTAATGATACAAAATATATTTGTAAAAATAAGATATTTAAAGATACACCAATTTTTTGTTTCAACAATAATATTTTTATTATAAAAATAGATTAAATAGGTATGCATTATGCGTTCAATATATCTTATTATACATAAATATATTAAATTATACTAATGAATCAATCTTTCTACTCGTTCTTAAGGAAATTTTATCTTTACTTAATTTCCAAGTGGTTAATTTATTTGTATGGAATTCTACACAAAGGTATTCTAGGAATACAGTTAGGCTTTCTATCAGTCTTCACGCACATTTTATTTTCCTTTCATGAAATATCTATATTGAACCTTATTATCTTATGTCAGGAATTACTAATTGCATTACCTTTCCTTTTAGTATTTTCCATAACTCAGTCTAACAAATAATGACTTCATTATTGACATATATAATACCAATATCATTGTGAAGATAGCTTTTAAATTACATCTATATTAAAACACACAAAGCACAAAGAATTATTACTAATTCTATCATTTAAAGGTGCATACAATATGTGTATCATCTTTTCTTTTGGCTTTATGCTCTTTTGCTTTTTTTTTATTGATTTATTTTCTTGTTCAATTTATACGTGATGGTCTACCTGTGCATCTGCCTGATCAGATAAACCAAATAATGACTTCATTAGTTACTCGTATGATACCAATTTTGTTTTTTTCAAGTTGTACTTGTTTCAGAAATCATTTAAATATAAATAACTATTCATGAAAGTAACTCAGTATTACATATGTTATGTATAAGAAAACATAAAAATTTATTATAAAAATCTATTTTTAGACTTCTTTGTTTTCAACCATTTACTGGTATCTTGTGCAACACAAATACAGAACATGAACTCACTATTTAATTATTTCTACTGTAAGGCTTTTTTTCAGCTTATTATTATTTCTATTTCAAACTAAGAATTTTCCTTATTGTATCATTTAAATGATGTTTGTCATTTGCAAAAAACATAACTGGTATCTTGTGAAACACCAATACAGAACACAAACTTGCCATTTAATTATTTATATTGTAAGGCTTTTCTTTCGAACTTCATGCTCATTTTTAATTCTCTTTAATGGAATATCTATATTGAACCTCATATCAGGATTACTAATACTTTTAACAATATTCTTGTCAAGTTGTGTTTTAAAAATGAATAGACTGGACACAAAGACCTGATACAGTGCTTACAACTTATATAATATATAATACCAAAAAACCATATTAGGTAAAAGGCATTCTGTGTAGTAATGTGCTGCATATAATGCCACTATTATTTTCTCCTTCTGTGATTACAATCTTGCGGCTCACAATATCACATTTAATCTTGGGCTCTAACTATTTATTTCAAGATTTTATGCATTTTATAGGCTCAAATAATAATTCAACCAAAGTACTTATGACTCCTCACAGGCTATTCTTGCCTTAAAAGATCAGAAAAAATGTAAAAATATGACTTTTTATTTAGTAAAATTTAACATAATAGATTATTTATTAAAAAAATCAAATTTTAGAGAATCGTAGAATAAAATTATTATATGAAAGTAAAATAGAAAATATTATTTATCATATATAAATACATCACATATTAATTAATAATAATGGGTAACTCCTGTATATATATTTCCATAAACGTATCAAACTCCCTACTTCTATATGTTTTATCCTCTTCACTGGTAAAATGTGTAGATTCATATTCAGCACTATGTTCTCATATCTTAATACCTAAATCATAATTAACTTTTAAATCATTCATAATTAGATATACATCTATTTTAGGAATAAGAACTTCATTTATTAAGTCAGATTTATCTCCATCAAATTTTATAGTGTTAATACCAAATTTTAATATATATTCATAAATTATCTCATAACCTTTGTTCCCATAATATCCTGAAATAAAGTCACATATTCTATTATACAATATTTTAGAATTTTTTCTTTCACATATTTTTTTTTTGAACTCTGTAAAAAAATATTTTTCTTTAAAATTTTTAAATATTTTACTTAACATATTATCATTTTTTTTGCTTTTAAATCATCTTTTAAGACCCTTTAACTTTTTTTCTATTTCATGTTTTGTTAATCGATACTCTTTGTTATTATAAAAAAAACTATAATCATTATTTCTAATTGTTAATTCAACAGAGTTTTTTGAAATCAATGATAATTTTCTCTTTCGAGAAATTTTTGGTAAGAGTGTGCTGACATCTGGTAATTCTTTATCACTATCATAAATAACAATTGATTTAGCTGTTTCGATGATTTTTTCATCCCCAGTGATGAAAGATGGTTTTGCTATGTTTTTATTATCAACTGTTAGATCGATCACCTCGATCTTCTCAGTTTGTCTTTCTAGTTCTTCATTGACTTCTTTGTCATCATTATGCGAAATTTATTCCTTTTGTTGAAAGTGTTCTGTTTGAATTCGAAAACCATTTTTTTTAAAAAAAACTAGTTTTATTTGTATTTGTGATTCAAAATTTTTTGATTCTTAAGCAATAAACAGGACTTATATTTATAATATTTTGAATTAATAACTAATAAAAATATAGATGCCTATAAAAATAGCATTCTTTCAAAAAACTAAATCTAGACTTTAATAGTGATACATAATACACAAATTACATATATGCTTATTAATCTTAAAACACTTCATGTATAGAATTTCAAATTAAATTATATTTAAAAGATATAATATATGATAAATTAATCACTCGGAAATGTGCAAGAAGTTTTGTTCAAAATTGTCCTAGTTTCAGGAATCATTTAAGCAATTATGCAAAGGTTGTGTCACTTTTAAATTAAGTAAGGGTATTAAACAAAGAAATAGGGCTTAAGTAGACATAGTATGCAATAAATTAATGACCTAAAGTGTACCAGAATTTTTGTTCAAAATTGTTCTTGTTTCAAGAATTCATTTAAACAATTATGCAAAAGTCTATACTTATAATTAGAAATGAATTAGCAGAGTATGGCCTTTAATCACATATTGTGTCCAATCTTGTTAAATAAATTAATTAAAATATATATTTTAAGTAGATGTTTAGATGAGTATTTTATCCTTTAAGTAATCCATCAAGTAGAAATATAATCCGAAACTACTATCAAGATTTTTAGAAATAGTGATATGAACCAAACATTGAACAGATAATATAAATTTACAGATTATTTTAAATCATAGATTTAAAGTAAGCTATAGATTATATTCTTTGTAATTTACAGTACACATCACTATTTTTGTATTTAGAAATGAATATTAGAAAAACTTTAATTAATAATCTGTTTTCGAATAAGGCAACCATACATGGTAAATCATGGTGTGCAAATCTATGATTTACTATATAAATTGCTAAACTACAAATGCCACTTCACACAAAGTAAAGTCATTTTTCTACTAAGTAAATATACTGTATCTTCAATTTTTAAGTAAAACTTGTAGTGCATTATTTTTTGATTCTAATAGTAATAAGACAATAAGCTTTCTTTCAGTCTTTACACACATTTTATTTCCCTTTCATGGAATATCTATATTGAACCTCATTACTTTATATCAGGAATTACTAATTGCATTACCTTTGCTTTCTTTTTAGTATTTTCCATAACTCAGTCTAACAAATAATGACTTCATTAGTGACACATATGATACCAATATCATTGTAAAAATAGTTTTTAAATTACATCTATATTGAAACACACAAAGCACAAAGAATTTCCTAATTATATCATTTAAAGGCATATACAATACATGTGTCATCTTTTCTTTTGACTTCATGCTTTTTTGCTTTTTTTTTAGTGATTTATTTTCTTGTTCAATTTATACATGCTGGTACATCTGTGTATCTGCCTAATCAGGTAAACCAAGTAATGACTTCATTAGTTACTTATATTATAAATTTTGTTCTTTTCAAGTTGTATTTGTTTTAGAAATCATTTAAAAATAAATAAGTATTCACAAAAGTGACTTAGTATTATGCATGTTATACGTAAAAAAACATAAAAATTTATTATAAGAATCTATTTTTAGACTTCTTTGTTTTCAAACACCCACTGGTATCTTGCATAACACAAATACAGAACATGAACTCGCTATTTAATTATTTATATTGTAAGGCTTTTTTTCAGCTCATTATTATTTCCTTTTCAAACCAAGAATTTTATTAGTTGTATCATTTAAACGATGCATGTCATTCACAAGAAATATAACTGGTATCTTACGAAATACCAATACAGAACACAAACTTGCCATTTGATTATTTATATTGTAAGGCTTTTTCTTCAGTCTTCACTCACTTTTTTATTATCCTTTAAAGGAATATCTATATTAAACCTCATCACTATTTATATCAGAATTACTAATTACCTTTGCTTTTAACATTATTCTTGTCAAGTTGTGTTTCAAAAATAATTTAAAAATAAATAGACAGGGCACAAATAATATCGTGTTTTCTAAAGAATTTTCTTAGTTGATCAAATAAATTTACAAAATAGCTTAAGATTTACATGCAAACAAATAATAGGATTTGAATTTATTATTTTGAATAATAAATTCAGAGACTTACAAGTTGTACCAAGAATAATATATTTAAAATATATATAAAGTAGTGTCTCAAAAGAATGATTAAAAAGAGTTCTTGGTAATGATATAAAAAGATGCCCTAAATTCACAATAGTAAAATTAAATCTTATAGTTAGAAAAAAAAAATAGTCTGTTAATGTGTCAAGAATAATAAATATATATAATTTCAATTTAAAATAGTGGCAAAAGAATGACTAAAAAGAATCACAGTTTACAAAACATAGTAAAATTAAAGCTTCAAACCAAAAAAAATTGTCCTCTAATCTATAAAATTAATAGGTACATAACATGTTCAAGACAATGTATTATAATTACCAGGGCTGGTATTTTTTGTAGTAGTGGAATACCTGTAAGTATCTATTAATGCATTTCTTGTTAATTGAGATGGTAATTCTTAAAATACTTTTTTTATAACTATTACCAATAGGATTTTAGAAGTTCAAATAGTCTTTATAGTATGATAAAAAGCCAATATTCAAGTATCTTTCATTCAGGCAAAGACTTATTTGATGCTAATTTTCTTAGAATCAATGAATCCAATAAGGTATTTAATCTTTTTATGGGTGAATTAAAAGAATTAATTGTAAAAACTAAACCCACAGCCACTCATTCTTTTATAAAAAAATTGGTAGATATGAAAAAATTAAAAAGAGTATATATACAAAATATAGATAATCTTGAAGAATTAGTGGGATTACATATAGATTTACAATTTGAAAAAGTTAAAAATAATAAAGCTCAAGTAGTTCAATTACATGCAACTCTTGAAAAGTTACAATGTAAAGTTTGCACAAATATTTATGAGTTTATGCTGCAATATTGTAAAATTTTCAAGCAAAATAAAGTACCAAAATGCACCAGATATGAAGAAAAAGGTAAGTATATAATTTTTTTTATCAATTAGATTTAAGTTTTAATAATTAATTATTTTACCTTAATAATAGAAAATGTTCAGATCGAGCAAGGAAATTGTCCTCATACAATTGGACAGCTAAACCCAACAATAATCCTGTACAGTGATTCACATCTTAAAAGATTGGAAATTAATCAAATCGCAGCACAAGATCAGCATAAAGCTGATTGTTTAATTATAATTAGACCTTTTTTAAGAATTCCTGGAGTTAAAACTCTAATAAAAAACTTTGCTAGCAGTTCATAACCATAATGGTTACATGATATTGGTAAATGCTACAGATGTAGTTACTAAAGAATGAAATGGCTTAATTAACTTTCAAATAGAAGGTGCTTGCAATGAATAGGTTGAACTTGTCAACATAGAATTATCAAACATCAAAAAAATGGCAGCTACAAGATTATCAAAAATCAATTGAAAAAAACAAATAACAAAATCAAAGTAAAGAAAAAAAGAAAGAGTGGACAGACTTACCAAAAAAGAGAAAGAAACAATAATGATTTTCTCAGTATAAAATTTACAAAAATTTAAGATAGAAATGGTTCATATGACATCAGACAAACCAAACGAAGCTAGAAATAAAATTTTTAATTTGGTTAATTCAATAATGTGCATATAAAGAAATATTCTATAATTAAACAAAGTAAATAAAAATTTTTCTATGATCATAACATTTCAAAATGATGCCTACAGTGTAGTGCAATATTTTGGCCTATATAAAGCCCTACATTAAAGCTTAATTTGGCTAAAAATATAACACTATAGTAAACTAATTTGATGCATTAAGTTGGAATTTGACATTATTGTAATCAATAGTCACATCAATAATATTATATTAATCATTTTATTCTTCTATGCCATCAAAATGCTGTCGAGGAATAAACTAAGTTTTTAATGAATTGTTTTCAAACTTTTGTTTTTAATGCTTGTTAATGACCTAAATTAACTAACTTTTCTAAGGAATTCTGATAAAGGAGTTCCAAATTCCAAACTTTGAAAGAGTTAATAGTCGTAAAATAGCTGTTTTTATTTAGAAATAAACAATTTTCTATTTTATCTTTTTTTATAATACAGTATGTACAGTATGTATAGTATATACAATGCATATCCAGCGATTTGATTGGCTGGTAAAAAAATTTTCGCATAAAGTATGTTGTACACAGCACATTACTAGGTTTATTATATGAATTTGGAATTTATTAATAAACTATTTAATAGTTCATGTAATTTTGCATTTACCATTAAGGTTAGATTAGCTTTGATAGTTAGTTTATATTTGGTAAATACAAAATCACATGAATAGTAACTTTCCCTTTATTAAAATTTAATTGGACAAATTTCTAAAATATCAAAATTCACATGATAACCTTATTCAAGTGATAAACCCTAATTATTAAAACTGGTTCAAACCTCTATCACCTAACAAAAAATCTAAGCATAGGCATGAGCACAAAATGCAAAATTTGGATTTTTATTATTTAATTGTGCCTGGCACTTCGTCTGACATTTGTGTTCAGAATTTTGTGCCTATGCCTTTACTGATACAATTTAAAATTCAATGTAGTACAAATTTTCTATAATTACATAATGTTTGATGTATTAAAGAACTTTAACAATTAAAGTTTTACATATCAATTTCATACACCTCTTGAATTAAAACTTTCTTTTTTTCAATTATTGTTGTATGTTATGGTTGTAAAATTAATTCAATTTTTATTAGATTTACTTGTTTATAGGAGACAATAAGAATTAATAGTGCTTTTTTTAGTAATGTTTTTTGCTTTACAAATTTACATGTTTTGCGACAATTTACTAATGATATCTATATCTGTTTTGAAAAGATATAGATATCATGAGTTTTATATATAATTTACAATTTATACCTCTATCCATAATAGTGAATATAGGGTGTGGCGACCTAGTGAAGTGGTCAGGTTGTCAACCCTCCAAGTGGTAGGTTGGGTGTTCAAATCGCATCGATGGTGAAAATTTGGATAATCACCTATGTAATATTCGTATTATAGCAACTGTTACTAATAATTGGGTTAGGATACCTGTAATGGCAGTCACACCAGCA